AGATCAGCCTTAGTCGGGTTGCCAGGAGTCAACGGTCTGTCAACTGAGCAACGTAAAAGGTTGACGATTGCAGTTGAACTAGTGGCAAACCCCTCTATCATTTTTATGGACGAACCAACTTCAGGGTTAGATGCAAGAGCTGCTGCCATTGTGATGAGAGCTGTTAGGAACACTGTCGATACAGGAAGAACCGTTGTTTGTACCATTCATCAGCCTAGCATTGACATTTTTGAGGCTTTCGACGAGGTAAATTGAACACCTTTTGCATCTATTTCTAGTTTGTCTTATGCCTTCCCTTTAGATATCAGATACTAATATGAAAAATACATCTTTACAGTTATTTCTAATGAAACGAGGAGGACAAGAGATATACGTTGGTCCATTAGGCCGCCAATCATGCCATTTGATAAAATATTTTGAGGTAAGTTCTCTTTATAGAAAATAAGTTCCTCTTACTGAGTTTATATGATCAAGCACTGAGTTTAGTTTTTGTTACAATTTCAGTCAATACCTGGAGTAAGCAAAATAGTGGAGGGTTACAATCCAGCAACTTGGATGTTAGAAGTCACAGCCACATCTCAAGAAATGGCATTAGGAGTTGATTTTACTGAATTGTACAAAAAGTCAGACCTCTACAGGAGGAACAAAGCCTTGATTGATGAACTAAGTGTGCCGCGGCCTGGTACAAGTGACCTGCATTTTGATTCTGAATTCTCACAGCCATTTTGGACCCAATGTATGGCTTGCCTCTGGAAACAACACTGGTCATATTGGCGTAATCCGGCTTACACTGCAGTCAGATTTATCTTCACAACCTTTATAGCACTCATATTCGGGACAATGTTCTGGGATATTGGTACCAAAGTGTAAGTACAATAACACACACAAAAAAAAAGGAATAAGAAGACAAACTGGCAACTCTAAAGTCTTAATGCTAACATTTCCTCTTTGTTTTTTTGTTATTACAGGAGTAGGAACCAAGATCTAATTAATGCTATGGGATCTATGTATGCTGCTGTTCTCTTCCTTGGTGTACAAAATTCATCATCAGTTCAGCCCGTTGTATCCGTTGAGCGTACTGTATTTTACAGAGAAAAAGCTGCTGGAATGTACTCTGCCATACCATATGCCTTTGCACAAGTGAGCAGATAGTTGAATTTTATTATAACATTACAAGTTTTAAGGCTTAAATAGTTCACATTGTTTATAAATACTTAATTTTCTTGCAGGTTCTCATTGAAATACCTTATGTATTTGTACAAGCTACTGTCTATGGTCTCATTGTCTATTCTATGATTGGATTTGAATGGACTGTTGCAAAATTCTTTTGGTACTTCTTCTTCATGTTCTTCACCTTCTTGTACTTCACCTTCTTTGGTATGATGACCGTGGCTGTGACCCCGAATCAAAACGTTGCTTCAATTGTCGCTGGATTCTTCTATACAGTATGGAATCTCTTCTCAGGTTTCATCGTTCCACGACCTGTAAGTTCTTAAATCTAATTTCAACTTTTCTTCTAGTAGTACATAAAAACAAATTGAGAGTAGTTTCATGTATGATCGATCACATTCAGGGGTGTAGCTAGGAATTCTGCCAAGGGTGTTAAAATTTTAAACAAGTCAATAAATTATTTTTGTCGACAAATGGACCGCCAAGGGTGTTCACACTTTAAACTAGCCAATAATTTTTTTTGTTGACAAATGGTATAAACTATTTGAAAAAGAGTCAAATAGACCATTAGACGGTGATCTCCGTTTAGTTTTGGCAAATAAAATGGGCAGATAACTTTGAATCCGTGAAAAACACATCCCTTTGAATACTCTAGACTGCTGAACTACCTCACTCAACTATATTAAGGATGTTCAAAATATAATATATTAACCATATAAAATAGTAGTTGACTTATATATGCAGTATAATTTTCCTTGACATAGTATGTTTGCTTGACCACCCTTGGCATAGTGTGTCTACACCACTGATCACATTTATAACATTGTCATGTAAATACTAGCGACATCAACAATTTACCTTACATAATAACCACATGGCAACGCCAAAAAGCAAAAAAACTGATTTTCCAATCCAGCCTAATACCAGATATCTTTTACTGTTACAAAGCTTGATAAAAATTTGACATTGTCTTTTTCTTTTTGGCTAAAAACAGCGTATTCCGATATGGTGGAGATGGTACTACTGGGCTTGCCCTATTGCATGGACTTTGTATGGTTTGGTTGCATCTCAATTTGGAGACCTCCAAGATCCACTTACTGATCAGAATCAAACTGTGGAACAATTCCTGAGAAGTAACTTTGGATTTAAGCATGATTTTCTTGGAGTTGTTGCAGCTGTGATCGTTGCGTTTGCTGTTGTTTTCGCCTTCACATTTGCTTTGGGTATTAAGGCATTCAACTTCCAGAGAAGATAAAAAGAGTGTCTATTTGTGTTTAATTTGCTGTTGTTAATTCTTGAATAAGCATTATATACATTACTTTCTAGATTACTGAATACAGTATGTTCTATATATGTTTTATTAATCTTTCTGAATTCCCAGTTTTGTATAACATGTGGTAATTGTTATTCATAATTTTTTATGGAGGTATATATACAATTTTATTTAATGGTTGTCTTCATTCTCTAATTAATACCCTCCGTTATCCCTGCATTATGTTTGTTTTCATTTCTGATCATTTGACAGAAGGGTGATTGAGAGCATTTCTTTTCTCATGTGTGCTTTTCTTCACTCAAAAATTTCTAATATAATATTTCAAGATATATTGTATTAGAATAATGCTCAATAAAACAAATTAAACTTCTTATAAACAGGCATCTTACACTGCTTTTGGCACTACTTACATTCTTAGATTTCAAGAAAACAAATCAACTTTAGGGTGGTCTATTCATTGTTTTCTCTGTCATGTAGTTATCATTTCAGTTTAAAAACTAAGCTACTAATAACTTATTTGCATTCATGCTATTATATATTAACCCATTTAACAATTGATATCCCAATAATTCAACTTGCGAAGAGAAGAATATTTAACCCTCATAAAAGATATTCGTGGAGTATTAATTATTGGAGCTATGGATATACACAAATCTACTTGAACGTAACATCACACAAAACTTGTCTTGTTCACAACTTAGATAACTTCGGTACAAATTATTCGTAAAGTTCTGATGAATTGGCAAAACTTGCAATTTGTTTTCGTTTTTATAAATCAAAAGCCACCTAAGATTGTTGGGAGGTTTAGTTTCATTTCATATTAAGAAGGAACTTGTTACATGGAGGTGGATGTTTTTTCCTTGCCTCTGTGATGCAATAAAGATGAATAATTCATCCTTGGACAAAAAATGGCTTATATCAAGGCTAAAGCTAAGATTACATTTGATAAGTGAGGCATAAACTTGCCTTATTCACAAATTAAGACGGGTGGACATAACTTGTACAATTTGATCATAAGTTCTGCCGGATTGATAAAATTTGTCTGTGTTATTCAATTGTTCACAAGTTTTACTGAATTAGCAAGACGTCATACTATCTTCGTTCTATATAGCTATCTTGTCAAATTATTGATAAATCTTGCTCAATTGACAAAACTTGAATGTGTTGTTCAATTGTTCACAGGAGAAGCAACATTAATAATATCATTGATTCTTTTCTCTTCTTTGAACATCACTTTCTGTTCTGCAACAACAAAATTCAAAATTTCCCATTGCAGAAATTTAGAGAATTAAGGAGGAGCAGAAATTTTGCCGCTGGACCCATAGTTACAAAGTTCTAAAACAAACGGAAACAAAAGTTAAATACCAGCACATTGGCTAATTCTTGAAGACTGAAAAACATTATTGTGAGATTGAAAACCTTTAAACTCGGATTGTTACAGAAAATCAAGTTCTTAAAAATGAAATAAAAATTAATAAAATGATACTGCAATTGTTCATGCGACACTTTTTTCTTATTTGTCTATTTAAAATTATTATATATTAATATTTTTTTATTTATAAATAATTTAACTTTAAACTTATATTTACCGTTAATGACCTGCTTCTATAGCAACAGAACGATGATGGTATATTTAGGACCATAAACTCAAAAAATAAATTCTTTCTCTTTAACTCTGTATCAAAGTACTGCCAAATAAATTGATGAATTTGAGTTTTATTTGACAAACACATGTTTGGCCATAGATTTTGCCTACATTTTGGCAAAATTCTAAATTTCAAAACCATCTCCAAAATATCACAATTACATTTTAAAAAATTGCTCCAAACTTTTGTATTTTATAAAAGAACCCACCATTTATTATTTTGTAACAATGTTGCTTCGTCTTTTCGGTCACCTGATAGTGTATCATGTAGTTCATATAAAAATGATAATTTTGTATCAAATTTATTTATTTTCAGGACTATGGTTTGCGATAATATAATGAATGTTATTGATAATGGTACTGTTAGATATTTGTGATAGTTTTTAAAACTTGTGGGCATAAGTCATGTTTTTTTTTTTTCAAAATAAATTTAGGAAATATATTTTGAAAACTGATGTCCAAACACATTTTCATCTTCAAACCAAACTTCACCCAAATCAGATTTTTCAGAACAAATTTGAAAATCTATAACGAAACGCCGGCTTAATATGAGTTGATAGACAAATATTATCGGTCAGTCTTAAAGGGGTAAAAAACCAAAACAAAAGAAAAAAAGACAGGATTATCCTCACCTTGTGAGGCTGACTATTAATATCCACTTTGGCAGCTCACTTTACTTGACTATAAGTGGGCGTTTGGACATAAGAATTGTAAAATTTGAAAATATGATGAAATTATTTTTCAAGTGAAAATAATATTTGAAATTTAGAGTTGTCTTTGGACATAAATTTCAGTTTGGGTTATTTTTGAAGTTTTGTGAGTGATTTGAGTTAAAATTTTGAAAAACAGTTTTTTATAGTTTTTCAAATTTTCGAAAAAATTCAAAATGCATCTACAAATAAAAATTAAAAACTGATTTCGAAAAAATAAATTTTTTTTGAAAAAATCTTCCATCAAATTTTATGTCCAACCGGGCTCTAAGTCTATCACTTATCAGTCTCAAAATTTCATTTTGGTAACTTATAAGTATATCAATATCACAGTACCTTCTTCTTCTTCTTTAAACACAATAGAGAGAAAAACCAATGACTACAAAGTCATTAAATCCTTTTACAATCTTGCCGGAGGGCTGCATATCAGAGATCATATCATTCACAACTCCGGCGGACGCTGCAAGATCATCGGCTATCTCAAAAGGTTTCAAGTCTGCAGCTGAGTCTGATGTCGTGTGGGATAAATTTCTGCCGTCCGATCATCAAGATATAGTTTCCACATCAGTTTCTGTGGTTGTTACTGATTGCAAAAAAGACCTTTACTTTAGACTCTCTCATTCTCCTATCCTTCTTCGTGAGGGCAGACTGGTAATTTTTAGTTGCATTTTATTTGACCAGCTTGTCACGGGTTCGAACCGTTCATTGGTATGATCTTTTCTTAAACCATGTGCATAGCGAAAGCTTAATATACGAGACTTGTCCTTGCCCACATCCATTTTATGTGATATTTTTAGTCGGTTCCAAAACAAAAACAAAATTTATATTTAAATTTCCCATTTTACTGATTTGGCGAAGGGGGTTCGGTTAAATAAAAACAATATTATTTTATATTTGACTTGTACTTTTTTAGCAGAGTTTTTGGCTTGACAAAACAAGTGGGAAGAAATGTTATCTACTATCTGCAAGGCGACTGGTAATTTCCTTTTCAGACATACAATTATTCTGGGAATGGATATCTGACACTGATTCAAGGTATTTACTCTGCCTCGTTAAAATATAAAATTGGTTACTCCATGTGATTTTCGAATATATTTTAAATGGACTTTACAATTTACACTCTGACATGCTCTGTTGATATTCTAGTAGATGTTAGACTATTTTGTTATCCGAGGAAGGTAACAAGAAATGTTTTACAACCGTAATAAAGCATATCAAAAATGTCTTTTGGGCCAGGACCGTTTGGTCCGGTTTTAGCGGGCCTGGTCCGGTCTTGTGAGCCGGTTCTATGATTTGGCCCGTCAGGTCCGGGACTGGCCCGGTCCTCTTAACGGGCCTAGCGGGCCCAACGGCTAATTTTTTTTAAATTTTTTTTTTTTTTAAAAAGAAAAGAAAACGTTGGACTATATATACATCTTAAGATAAACTAAGTATACTAGATATATATAGTAGAGATACATGTATATATAGTATATCTTAAGATGTATATATAGTATATAAATCGAATATAGCTTATATATAGTATACAATTATACATATATATATATATATATATATATATATATATATACTATACTATAGTCTATACTAAGTATAATAAGATATACTATATATACTATACTACATATACATCTTAAGATATAGTATATATACATAGTATACTAGATATATATAGTAGATACACTATACTACATATACATCTTAAGATATACTATATATACATCTTAAGATATACTATATATACTATACTACATATACATCTTAAGATATAGTATATATACATAGTATACTAGATATATATAGTAGATACACTATACTACATATACATCTTAAGATATACTATATATACATCTTAAGATATACTATATATACTATACTACATATACATCTTAAGATATACTATATATACTATACTACATATACATCTTAAGATATACTATATATACATAGTATACTAGATATATATAGTAGATATACTATACTACATATACATCTTAAGATATACTATATATACTATACTATATGCACATCTTAAGATATACTATATATACATAGTATACTAGATATATATAGTAGATATACTATACTACATATACTTCTTATACTATACTATATATACTATACTATATATACTATACTATATATACATAGTATACTAGATATATATAGTAGATATACTATACTACATATACATCTTAAGATATACTATATATACTATACTATATATACATCTTAAGATGTATATATAATATATAAATCGAATATAGCTTATATATAGTATACATACATATATATATATATACTATACTATAGTCTATACTAGATATACTAAGTAGATATACTATACTACATATACATCTTAAGATATATTATATATACTATACTACATATACATCTTAAGATATATTATATATACTATACTACATATACATCTTAAGATATACTATATATACTATACTATATAGTATATCTTAAGATGTATATATAATATATAAATCGAATATAGCTTATATATAGTATACATACATATATATATATATATATATATATATATATATATATATATATATATATA